GTGTCCGCATTTAAGGTAACGATTGTTTACACCTTCTTGTAGACAGACTTGTAAATTAGCGCTTGTGCTGTTTGTACAGATTCTTTTGTATCACTGGTATAAAATATATGAGATAATATTTTCCCATTTTACTGTGTGAAAGTCATTGCTTTAGTGTTAATAGAGGGATAAGCTCAAATCTTAATAAAGAAATAACCTTATATTCTCCTTCAGGAGTCGTGATGGCCACCTGTAAACAGTGTATGTTTGTATATAACACAACTTTATTACATATCGTAACCTCTTCCTTTGACGAACATAACAGGGCAAGGCAATTTTGATGCCTTATACTAAAATGCGCAAACCAGTGAAAATGGTTACGGGAAGTGCTCCGTTCGTTATTTCAATTTTAGCGCCCGATTTTTAGTTTTAGTCAGCTATGCTGATGGTAGCTATTTATTAGGCATTTTCCAACAAGTAAGCTCTCACTATCGAGTAACAAGGAGGTCAGTTGCTTAATTGGGAAGGGGGATATCGGTTTTCTCTACCAGTTGTTTTGTTTGTTATTCTTGTTGATTTTTTTCCTCCAGAGCATCTACGCTGTAGGCTAACGATAGGGCACTCGTTGTCTGAGACACGCTGTTTTAAGAGTTAGGTCCAGACCGTTGCTGATGGTGGGGCCATCTGTTACATTCGCCTAAATTATGAGTCAAAATTGCTTAAAGCCGAAAGACTGAATGTGTTAACCTAAACGTCAAAGTAACATTTTCTTGAAAGCAGCCAAAATTGGAAATATAAGCGGGGAAGACAGGGAACAGATTCCTTCATCATTACGCGACATAGCTTTCCACGCACACGTTCTTTTGGCTGGTCAAGCAATCTTTCCTTCGCAGGGACGGGACGCGTGACGAAGCCCTTAGAAACTCTGCTCTGCTCTGGGAAACCTATAACGCACGAGACTAGGCAAAGAACTGTACCAATTAACAGAACACTGTATGCGCCTCGTCAAAGAAGTATGCGGCGTACACACTGCTGATTGATAGATTTTAATTACGGAATTTTTTAGTGGTGTGGTGTCGATAGCGGGCCAATCCAATCAAACTACATTCGAACCACGGTTTACGGGCACCCCATTATTACTGACAGTTCGCTTTGTCCCTGGGGACAGAAATCCCTTACATTCTCTCTAAATTCAACCCGCTTAGGACGGATACCTGGCCCCGTTAATACGGATACTTTCTATGGCCCCTTCAGTGACCGTATTAACGGGGTTTGGCTCCAAGGAGAGGGGGGGGGGGTACTCCCGTATATGGGCTTTATAGGTATATACCGCTGTGAAGGGTATGGTTTTCAAGCAGTTTACTCTAGGATAGGATATATCAATCAGAGCGTTTGGGTCTAGAATAGGGTATCATTTTTCTGGAAACTGATCAGTTGGTTGAAGATTTTATCTAGACTAGGGATTGTGGAGAAAATGTGAGGGCTTTCTTCGAGCTGCACGTGTCATCATGACAAGAACGCTTAGCGCAAGGCATCGTGGGGGATGATCAAGTACGGATGAACATAGCCTCGTTCTGATGCTCTGTGCACGCCATTATTGTCGGCCATGTTGAATGAATCACTTCATACGTACAAGACAAAACGGTCAAAATAATGTGATATTTATCGCGTTGTTTGGCCTCATTTTATAGGGCTTGACAAAACATAGACTTACGAAGCTCTAGACAAAAAACGAAGGATTCTTACTGTCTTTTGAAGCCATCACGTCATCTGTTAATCTTACAGACTTTTGAAGAGACTTTAGTAGAGAACAGAGTTTATCCCCACTTGCAAGTTTCAGAGGTGCAACTATGATTGATTTACAAAGGAAATAGTTTTTTTTTTCGTTTTAAGTATTTGTCCGTGGTTAAAATGAAGATTGACAGGAGTAAACTACGGAAAACTCAATCCGACGTGGTAAGTCAAGCACAGTTTTTAGGAACTTTCCTTTTTGAAAGTGAGCTTAAGTTTGTACATTGTAAAAAATGACTGGCTAGACGTCTCTTGAATTTTTGAGATATCTCGTGGAAGTTTCTATAATCCACTTAAATAGTTAAATATTTGTCGAGTGAATAACATCTTCTGCCGTAGCGATTGTGGCATTGACGATGATCTTTTTATAGGCCCCAGAGTGCAGACAGCTTATTCAGAGATTGAAGGAAGCAAGTGACTGCGAGTTGATACATATTCTCAAAGATATCAATACGTGGTACTATGGCAAGGTAAATTACTTTGTAGCAATATAGATCGGATCGTGAGGTTTTTTGAAACGGTCCTTAGACTAAAGCGTATTTTTACTGCAGTTGTCTTGGTTGTCTTTCAGAGGCGTCTTAGTAATGGGAGGAAGTTAATCATTGTCCTGATACTTCCGATTATGAAAACGTGCTTACAAAGAAATTGACGAAGTCTTATAAAGCGTATATGTTTGAGTCTCTAGTATTATGAGAAAATTTCCATATTCTCTGTGTGAATTTTACTCCATCATTTGTCAGAAATGGCTGTCCAGATCTGTAATTTTTCAAATAGTGCATTCAATATTGTAGTATGTGTAACTTCAGTGATCTTCATGTAATGTTTCCTGTCATAGACTATATTATTATGCCTGTCTATTTATAGATTATATTTTGTGCCATGTGGCTACCTCAATGGGCAAACACACAAGCTATGCTGTAGCATAGTATGCAGCATCAATGTCACACTAAAGGCTGGTTTTCACTAGCAACGGAGTTGGAGTTATAATCAGAAGCGTAGAGCTTATGATCTAGTAAAAAAAGTGTTCTGATTCCGCTTATGACTCCGTAGCTTAGTTCCGCTTATGATCTAGTGAAAACCAGATTGTTGAAGTCACAAGCTGAAGTGGAAGAACTAAACTAGTCACAGAGCATGGGGAGGTGCATTGTGATTGGTTTATCCTTCCGCTTCTGCTTCCAACTCCGACAATCTGGTTTTCACTAGATCATAAGCAGAACCTAAACAACAATGGAGATGTCACTGGAACGACCAGACACAATAATAAAGGGCTATGTATGTATGTAAGTGGAATCGGAAGAAATGGAAACATTCTCATTCTTCTGACTCCGATTCCGTCGTGCTTATGACTCCACTTAAGACTCCAATTTTTGATTTAACTAGGTCATGAGCCCTCTTACGACTGCGACCCCGTCTCTGTCGCCAGTGAAAACGAGCCTTCATTGGTCAGTTAGCACAAAAATGATATACTGCTATACTTTTCTTTACCTTTTATCTGCAAGTATTTCTCCATCTGCATCAAGTAACTGCAGTATTTATGCATCTTCCTTCCATGAAGTCAGATGGTTGTTGAAATGTTGGGTAGCTTTATCCTTTGGATAAATCACTGTCCAATGGATAAGTATTAGGGAAACCAATAATTACATTGTCCACTGAATAGAGATTTATCTAGCATGCAAGTAAGCTCTCCGGGGAAATTCTGGCGGCAGGGTGGGAAAAGGAAGGAGAGCTTGTAACTACATCTCTGGAATTTGAATTCCACCCAAAATTCCCCTGTGGCTCCCCGTCGACTGAGCTGTAAGATTTCCATCAATCAGGGTGAAGCTGAAACAAATGCAAATGTAAACAAACACTGAAAAACACATGCCATGGGGAATGACATCATTACTAATGTCATCTCCGCCAATCAGCATTTTGCATAGACTTTTTTGATGCGGATATTCAAATTCCAGCGACGTGTTGCAAGCTCTCCCTCCTTTTCCCACCCCACCACCAGAGCACCCTAAAGAGCTTGCTTGTAGGCTATGATTTTTCCAGTGGATAGTGTTACCTACTTTTTGAAATACCTTTGCCCGTTGTAGCAGGGGCGGATCTAGGGGGAGGGTGCAGGGCGTGCGCACCCTCCCCTGAGATGACCTGCAGTTTTCTAATACAATTGGTATTCTGCAAAAAAAAAAAATACTATGTGGTTTATTGGTGTTAAAGTAGAGCAAGAGACGAGTGCACCCCCTCCTAAAAAAAATCCTGGATCCGCCCCTGTGTAGTCATGTAACTGGTGTCGTGTGAGAAAAGTTGGACAAATGAATTAGAGGCAGCCATCCGGATTTCAAAAGTTGTATGCAATGCTGCTTGTGAATCGAAGCTGTGTGTTTCCACACTTAAACATTAGCATTGTTAGTTCACTGACTTGCACATTCATTGTTTCTTTAATAGTGTGAGCTGCAACATTGGGTTGATGTCATGGACAAATTTGATGAAATCTTAGCAGGCGTTGCTAAGCCCGTCAATGGAAGCAGCTGGATTCTGACGTATGACAAACTGGATCAGCTTGAAGGACCTGAGATAGCAGTAAGTTGTGTAATACCATGATATATAGGAAGGCAATTTGTATCTATAGTAGTCCAAAGTTTATGTCCTGCCAATCACGCACAGTGTAGTGGTGGTCGGCAGTATTACATAAGTCTATATGTAATTTAGGCAAGGTTCAGCACAAGACAATGCAGACCAATCCCTTGCTAGTTGTATGAGAGGTAGTCCTGGGGTACTTGCAGGGCCTCGGTAGTTTTACAGTGCTCCTGCTGAGGTCGAATATCATTTAGGGGCTATTCACATGATACCAGAATGACTTTCATTTGGGAATGAGTTCATTCAGGTTTTCATTCCAAATGAAATTCTTGTTCTGGTACGAAATTTCATTCTGGTATTATGTAAACTGAAAATGAACTTGCTCTGGATTGAAAGTTGCAAATCATGTAGTCTGGAGTTTGTGGCACATGCATATCTGATCTGGCATAAAGACCACACAAGCGGGAATGCCTTAGACTTTTATCATGTGTATTCAGTACGAAACTCATTCCAGAATGAAACTCATTCTGGTATCATTTTAACAGGCCCTAACTTTTTCTTGCTTGTTCTGATTTGCCTCTTAGAGTGAACGTCGATGTCTGGTTAACCATGTGTTAAGATTCACAGCTCTTGTTTTGGAACATTCTTATACAAGACAGCTGTACAACTCATCCGAGGTAGGTGGTACTGATGCTGCAAAACATGTTTTCTTTTTCAGGAGTTTTTGATGAAAATAATATTTACAAAATGGAATAGATGGAATAATTATTGTTAATTTGTGGACTGCATTGTACGCGATTCTGCCATCTGCAAGTTTCAGGTGTATCTTCAATGTT